GTGTGTGTGTGTGTGTGTGTGTGTGTGTGTGTGTGTGTGTGTGTGTGTGTGTGTTTGCGTGTAAACCATGCAAAAGTATGAGACAGGAAAGGTGGACTAATAAGGAAAGTGAGAAAAATGTTTGAAGACATATGCGTGGAGGTGAATAACTGGCAAGATAGCAACACATAAAATCCAGTATATACGAACACACACAAACAACAATGGGGGGAGGAGAGTGACATTCTAGTTAAGCCTGCCTTCATGGATCACTCTCACTTCTCGCATAAAGAGGGATGACTCTATTGGGTGCCCGAGAAGAAGAGCAAGGTGAAAAACGAAGGACGGGCTGTTGCTGTTTTAGGGGGGGAAAAGTGAAGTGAAGTTTGAAGAGAGCAGCACAGTGAGAGGAGAGGGTTTGTGGAGCATGAGAGGGAGGGAGAGAGAGCGAGAGTGACAGTGAGAGAGAGCGAGAGAGAGAGGGGAAGGGGGAGAAAGACAAGAAGAGAGGCTCAGTGAGACAGACAGATGGAGGAGAAGCATGTAGCAGCAGAGAGGGGAGGAGGAGGAGAAACAAAGCGTGTTGACTGAGGAAGTGTGCGTGCCATGCGGGCCATGTGCTCAGGTAGGTCCTATCTATATCTACTACTTCCAACGGAGGTCCTCCATTCTCACGTTTACAACCTCTTTTTTTCCCTCTCTGCTTCTGTCGCTTTCTACAAAAATCAGTAATAACACAAGGTAGGATGGCTTTCTTCTTGCTATTCAGAGGCACAGGGCTCAAAAGAATTTTGTGTGTTTTCACTTCTTTTTCTGCCTTTATGAATCCCATGCAGTGCCGCTTTTTTTCTTCTTTTTTTAATGTGGTGATGCCATTGTGAGTGCAAGTTTTTCCTTTGGTTCAGTGTTGCATGCTGTGATTTGCAAAAAGAATTGCTCGTGTTGGACTGATACCACAGATGCAGTGCAAATTGGGAGATTTTATTCAGATCTGGCTGTATCATAGTGTGTGTGTGTGTGTGTGTGCGAGTGCGCGTGTGTGTGTGCGTGTGTGCATGTTGAGCTGTGTGATGGTCTACAATACTGGTAGGATATTGGCAGGAGTGAGGAATGTGTGAGACTTCTCCCCAGATCTCTTTGTTCCTTCTCTTTCTCTCTCATTTTCTTTCTCCTTTTTTTCCTCTGGGCTTGCACACACACACACACACACACACACACACACAACACACACTTACACAAACCAACTCTTGCAGAAAACCAGTTGAAACTTCCCACCGGCAGGAGAGAAATGCCTGGAATGTGATTATCACGTATTTGTGTTTATTTTATCACTGCGGGTCGCTTGCAAAGCAAAAGAGGAAACCAGATCAGGCGCATGCCCAGCACTGTGTGTGTGTGTGCGCGTGCGTGTGTTTATGTGTGTAAAATACATGCGTGTGCTCAGTGGTGGTGATGGTGGTGGGTGGGTGGGTGTAGAGGGGATAGAGTGGGAGGGTAAAGAGTGAGCTATTTGGCAGTGCACGTGAGTGTGTGGGTGGTGTGTGGGTGTCAGGGTGAGTGGGTGCAGAGCTCTCTTTGAGTGAGAGCACATGTGACTCGAAGTGTGTGTGGGTGTTGAGTGTGTGTGTGTAGAAAGATGAAAAGTGCTGCGTGCGCGGGCGCGTGTGTGTGCAAAAGGTGAGGTGATTGTGTGTTTCCGAGTCACCTTCGCAGAAAGAGGTGGAGGAAAGAAAAGGGGAAAGAAAAAAAAAACTTTCCTTTCTTTATGTTGTATGCTCATTTACACACATGCACACACACACACACACACAGTTCAGGCGCCTGTCAAACCCAATGCATTCCAGAGCGCTCGAACACACAGAGTCTGAATGGTGGGATGAATGCGGGGAAATTCAGCTGAAACGTGAGGACAAAAGCCAGGGGGACATTTAAGAGGGTTTAACTCGGCAGAACCCTGGGAATCAGGGAGGAAACACACACACGCACGCACACACTGTAAGCATGCACACTTACATTATTGCATGCCTATGCACACTGAAATGTGAATAACTGCGCTCTAAAATGTGTATACATCCTGACACACACACACACACATACACATATGTACAGCTGCGGCTCCAACAAACTGTTAGAGTCTGGAACAGAGGGGAATTCCCAGGGAGGAGACGGTGAAAACACACCTCTGCCTTCATATACACAATGAACCTGGGAGCCAAAATACCAGTGCTGAAACACACTGGTGGAGGTACTGGAGCTGCGGTATGCCAGTCACTTCAATGGTAACGCTGTATTGAATTCTTTTAAAAACCGCCGATAGCTCAAAGGGAGTTCTGTGAGTGACAAATTCTTCAAGTATGACAAAGCAACACCGCTTCTTTGAAGGCTTCATGTGTAAAACATCAACCCGGGACTAAACTGTTGAATGGGCTCATAAAACACCAATTGGCCGAGTCTTGAGAATGGATTAGCGTTATAGCAATCGAGATAAGGCATTTTAATTCTGACGTGCCACTTTATGAAGGACAATAGCGACGGAAAGAATGCAGAGATTTCCGCCAAAATGCCAACACTTTATGACATTTCCAGCAATTATATCAATTAGAAGTTTTAGGGGTGGTTTTTTTTGCAGTTTCTTGAGTCTCCAGAGACACTGCGGTTTCAACTTGTTCTGTTGACATCATGAAGTAAAGATTATCAAAGTCTGCGACACATAAACATGCCTTGCGAAAGTGTTTATCTGCGACTTCAAAGTCGGCTCGGTATCTCCCAAGTTGAGATTTCATCAGGTGTTTGCTGTTCAGGTTTGGGCAGACAGAAAAAAGGGGACTGGAGTTCAATGAACATTACAGGTCAACCCCCTCCTTTCCCCGCACCTCCTGCCTCTGATGTGCACTATAGACGTTATATGACGTGTGTCGGGGAGGAGGAAAGGGAAGGGCGAGGTGACGGGGTCGCATTTGTACAGAACTGGAATCAATATTGCTCACTCCGAGTCAGATCAGTATACACGCAGAATCGAAAGCCCGGGTCCTCTTGCTGAGAAACATGAAGGGGGAAAGTGTGGGATTATCCCCAGTTGCTGCAGTCTTTGCACACCCTGCAATAGCAGTTTGAGGTCACTGCAAAATGCACCTTTATTTAACTGTTTACCATTAATTTACTGAATCTGTTCTGTGAGCAAAACCAATTCAAATTCCTCAGATTTCATGCTTATCTAGCTTAACTGTGACTGCCAAACATTCCCTAGTAAATCGGATTGTGAAATAATAAAATTTAAAAGCGTCTAGTCAATTTTTACCCGCCTTGTTAGTTTGCTAAATAATCGTTTCAGTCAGTTAATCACAAGTCTTAACAGTGCAGAGCTCATCAAAAGCTCCGTCAGGTATGAAAAAGCTGCCTCTTTGCCTCCGTCAATCGGGTGAAATCCTACATGAAGTCCTCCTTAGCCGTGTGAGGTGACCTGCCAAGCGCCATAGGGTTAAATTAATTTGGTCACACGGCTTACAGAAAAAAACAACAGCCTGCAAACACAGAAATATTTCTGGGAAGTTTACATTGAAGAAATACCCATCCCAAATACCAGAAACTGAGGTCATAACTGCACTCATAACCAGATAAGAGAAAGAGTGGGCACAGTAATTTATTCAGGGAATTTTCACAATATGAACCCCTCGTCATCATACCGGCGGTGATATTGTCATTGTGGTTCAGAGACCTCATAGCTCCTCAAAAACCATGAAGAGAAACAAGCAGCAAAAACATTTGTTAATTTCCCAGATCGCTGTCACAAAAAAAAAAACAAAACAAAAGAAATCACTCTCACTCTCAAAGTGAGAGTGATGAGACAGCCTGCAAGAGCAAAACGGGGGGAGGGAGCAGGTGAGCAAGAACACATCATATCACATATTTCATAGGAAATTTATACAAATGCAGGCGCATACATTAAACAGTGCAGGTACAATCCCACTGCAGGTGTATTTCCCCAGTGAAAGATACAGAGAGACAGCTCTCAGTCAACTTGTTATCTCTGAAATGTTTTCACGCTCTGACTGAGCGCTTGTGGGGAGCTGAGCTGCTAAATGAAACAGTCGCAGAACTGTAAGAATCCTTCAGCTCATTGGTAAAACTGTTAAATGTGACTGCTTGCTGTTCAGCCTGTCTTTTTTTTTTTTCTGGAGTAGTTAAGAGTTTTAAAAAAATTGAACAGGAGAGAGTTGATATTTAAAGGTTTTTTTCTTTTTAAAAAGATGATGCTAAGCTGTGACATTTCTTAAAGTCATCATTAAATGTCTGTGCAGAGCTATTTGGACCTGGCACAATAACACAGGGGTTCCCACAAAAACATTAGCATTGCATGTATGCTTGTGCAGAGGAGTGAAATCTGTTTTAAGTGAAATTCACCTTGTGCGCTCAGCTTGCAAAGGACCTTTTTCTCCCTAGATGACCCCCCACCCGACTCTGGAAAGCCACTGCACACAGCAGGAGGAAAAATGTACTATCTACTCCTAAAGGAAATGTTTAGAGCTCCTAATTTATTACTGGAAAGCTGAGGTTTGTTTAGCATATTTTGCAGCATCTCGTCTTGTGATTTAGTTGCAGGGAAAACCGGAGGAATGTCCTCATCGCTTTGGAGCTTTTGATTTTTAAAAGAAATTCTTTACTATCTGCAGCTGAGTTTACTGGTTTGTTGGAGTTTGAAATTAGGTGCTGAAATCACACAGAAATGTAGAAATTTTCTCTGCCTTCCCCTCTTCGTTTTTCACTTCTGTTCTCTGTGTGCAGGTGTTTTTCTCTCTCTTAGGTGTGTCACTGACAGTGGCATCACTATCCTGATATTAGTCTCCGCGGTCGAGCAGGGGACAGTCCCCGGAGCTCAAGGGGAGGGCGACGGGAGGAGGGGGGGATTTCTCGCGGGCTGAGGTCGATGCGGGGACCGAGCTGTGGCCGACTGATGTGACTGATTGTTGTTTTTTCGGGGGGTAGCCAGCCTCCAGTTCGAGGCAACAAGAACCAGTCAGTGGCATTTCCGAGCGATCCGCTGTAAAGGCCCGCAGGCAGGCACACAGATAAAACAGAGAGAGAAAGAGAGAGAGAGAAGGGACTCTCACGTCAGATGAGTAATAGAGCGGTGTATTACCACGGCACAAAATGCGAGAGACGTGATAAATCGATCCTCCTCCTTTCCTTCCGCATATATCTGCGGTTGTCTCCGCTTGTTCCACCAGAACTTTTTCTTTCTTTTCTTTCTTTTTATTGCGCTCAGCCCTCGGTGATGTGTTGTTTCAGCTTCTGCTTCTCGCGTGCTCTCGTACGCACAACGGATAGATCTCGGAGCGCTGCGCTCGAGGAAGGTGTCTGCAAACTGGGCTCATTTTTTTTTTCTTTTCTTCTTTTTTAGCTTCAGCTGATCTGCAACACAGACGAATACACACAGGTACCGCAGTTTGATGATAAGAATTTACAATTTCAGTTATCATTATTGTTATTATTAGTAGTAGTAGTATTAATATTAGTATTATTATTATCAGTGCCAAAAAACAGTAGTGAATAAGAAAATGAAGAGGGCTATTTTATTCATAGACTTAAATATTTAAAAATGTGTGCTTTGACTTTGTCGGTGTGGTGTAGAAGTTCTATTAGGGCTGGCACTGTTTACATGCGGCGAGACTTGAACATGGCATTGCAACAGTGTGTGGTCTTCTCTGGCAAGGCCTCTTGTGCGAGCGCTATTACTTCACGCCCGCGTTTACGTGTTTGTGCGCGCGCGTGTGAGAGAGGGAGAAAGAAAAGAAAAGAGGAGGGGGGCGTGAGTTGAGGGCTGGAGGAAATTCTTGTGTGTTGGAATGCGTTTACCCCGGGGGAGACCCGTGACTTCGGGATAGACGAGGGGCACAGAGAGAGAGAGAGAGAGAGAGAGATGCATGTGGCGTGAGGAGAGAGAGTGAGCGGTCTATTGTGAGTGCACTGGCTTTCTAAGAAATCTCTGAATGGTGTGTTTGATGTGTTTGTTAATGCGAATATCACAGTAATCGGGCGTGAAGGGACTTGAGTTTTTTTTAAAGTGAATTAGATTGTCTGTTCGAATTATTCACATTTTTCTCTTTGATTTTATTGTTCTTTCTTTAGAGGACTATAATTGAAACCATGCTCCGTTAGTTTTAGAAAGAGTGTTGCTGTATCCAACAGGGGGCACTTGTGACACGTGCAGTTGGATCTCTGTGGTTATTAATGTATTAACTCTGGCCGTTAATATCAATTTCAAATTTTGTATTTTCTTTAAAAGCTTAATATTGTTTTGCACGTTTAGTGTCTCGTTTTTCTTTTTCCAGACTTGACAATAAGCACGTTAAACAGAATTTCAGAGGAGTTTGCAGAATTAGAAGCTTTTTAAAAACAAACAAACAAACTTTTGATCAAAACTTGCTCTTCAGTCTACTCAGAGTCCATCAGATTTAGGACTTCGTGGGAGCTTTGCAGTAGTCTAAGTGATTTTCATTTTGCCATGAGGAGCGCAGTCATGCGCAACAGGTTGTCCCTGCCTCCTGATCCTCCATCAGCTGTATCTGTTGTTTAGTCAGTACAGAAAGTAGAGAACCAAAGTGCATAGACTGCCTCTGCAACCCTGCTCATATCAAACATAACATGCCACAAATATGACTTCACCCTTAAGGGAAAATAAGCATTAGTGACAGTATTGGAGGAGACTGAGCTTTATCTGATTATACACAGTCGGAGTGTATAATCTGAAAGCTGACAGCATATGCCATGTACTGTACTTGAAACTTTGACAGAAGTTGGTGCATCGATTTACTTTTTTAATGGACAGACTGAGGTTAGGATCCCGGTTGGTATTGGACACAAATCAGTGTTTCTGGAACAGTGCTGGGGACTAGAGGGAGATGGACTGCTAAAAGCTCGCCCACACACAAATGTGAGATATTCTAATGAGCAATCTGGCCCTTTCTGAATATTATTCACAGTACAAGCATCCTACGATGTGTGACATTGTGCGAGTCTATCAATTTTGTAAAATATCTTCTTTTTTTCCTTCCTCAAAAATTTTCTGTTTGATAAAGGTGTCAGTGATAAGAATATTTGAAAAGGCTCCGTATGATGTGAGTGACATGCTCCTCTGCCACCCGTTTTTCACAGCTCAAGCTCTTCACGATGCACATCTGTGAAAAGGCGGCAAAGACCTGCAATCCATGGCTCCTGTCCTGCTGGTAAGAATCACACATTTTCTGTGATTTTTCACTGATGCAGAAATAGCTTGAATTCATTTCTCAAATGGAAAAGTTGAACCTGAGCGGCAGCAGACCAGGTTCCATTTGAAGTTTTTGTTAATGCACCTTGCACTGTACGCATCGTTGCCAGCTTTAGATCAAAATGTTGCATCAGTCTTTTCTCTTGAAATCTTACCTTTCACAATCCAGCTACTATATCTAAGGAGACCTCATCACTCTCACAATCCAAATCCTCCCCTGTAGCTGCAATTTATAAATAACTACAACCTACTGAGCTCAGCTGTGTTAAAAGCTCTTTACGTACAGTAGGCAACAGTAGATATCAACCTTTTTTTAAATGTAGTGTATTTGATATAAAACTGGCAAAAGATTCAAACACACACATGCAGCATGCACGGCCCACACACTCCCACGTGTTTCCCCTGCCTTTGCTCTCTTCAGATGTGAGGCACATGACATCATTAAAGAAGTGATCGAAAAATCACTGTAGGTACTGCATGTGGGTTTTGTGTGTGTGCATGTTTTTGTTTCTGTGTGGGTGATGGGGAATGAAAGCCAAAGCTCCAGAGCCGTGGGCCCATGGTGGCTATGTGTGTGTGTGTGTGTTTGTGTGCGTGCGTGCCCAGCCGGAGGCTCTGGTCCTGGGCTGCACTGCCTCCCACGCTGGGGTACGGCTGGGGCTGAGTGGGAGGGAAGAGTGGGAGGTAAGAGTGGGCTGGGGCTGTGAGTCAGCCTGCTGCTGAGCCCCTAGACACGAGAGCGCTGAGGGAAGAAGCACACGGGCAAGAGTCCTCTCCCTGCCAGCGTTTTGAAGAAACTGTTAAGTTTATTACGAGGAGTCTACAAGTCCCGGGAGAAGTAACTGCTGGGATTACACATAGGACAGAAGGCAGTGGTGGGAGAAGGCTCTGAAGGTATTGAGAAGATGGAGTAAATTACAATTTCAGTGGGGCTGACGGCTCCTCAAAACATGGTCAGGAGCTACAGGAGAAGGCAGGGGACACAAAGATGTTGCATGCATCTTTGTTGGTTCTTTATTTTACTGATGTGAATTTCTAATGTTAAACTTAGATCAAAGACTGGCTCTGCAGACCACTTCTGTATTTTTAGACCTTTTAGACCTTCGTGTATTTCCACAGAACAGCTCTGAATACCACAGTCTCAGCCTGCTTATGCATTTTCTTGCACTTCTGAGACAGATGGCGGTATCAGGCCCAGCCCCATCTGCTGGAACCACTTGCTCTTTCTCACTCTGTCTGCTGAGAAAACAAAGCTCCATGCTGCATGTCCATTTAATCTTCAGTGAATGACACACTCCCATTCCACACTATGCATATGCATAGTCCATTAGTCAGAAGCAACAGGGACCGTTTGTCTCTGGTGCTTTTTGCCAGGTTAATAAACTTTCTAGTGTGAAGCTCACAGGAGTGTAGCCTGCATTGCAGATCACAAGTTATTTACTCACTGCAGGATCATTCATGAATGCTCTCCGTTCATCCTGCAAGTAGAGCTGCTGTTTAAAGGAAAATGCGAGATTTGATGTGTAAATCTTCTTCACGTGTACAGGAGCATGATTAGCCTGTAAATACTGTGGTAAAAAAAATAGCTTAGAGGAGATTCTTCATGCTTTTTTAGGGGTTAAGTAGCCTAATACAGGTAGCTGAAAACTGCAGTCATCCTCAATATCTCTAAGAATGAGAATAAATATTGTATCTGATGGAACAAATTCTTGTATAGGGTGGGAAATATTTCTAGATGTAGAGTAGTGTTTGGTATTCATGCTTCATCAGATACATAATTTTTTTTTTAAGTTTTAAAATCATGCTTTTGTGTCAATGAACTAATGACTCACTAAGGGGACTTGTTAGTTGTCTCTGAAGTTTTCATTTTCTGTCATCTTTTTCCCTTCACCCCAAAACCCAGTCACAGCACATGGCTGAGTGTCCCTCAGCCTAGCTGCGTCTCATCCTGTCAAAAGGCAGTTCTTCTGCCCTACTGTTGCCAAATGCTTGCACATAGGGGATATTGTAGAGTCTTTACGGTACAGTGTGAAACACCTTGAGATGACTGTTGTTTTGCTATAAAAACAAAACTGAAATGAAATAGGTTTGTCATCCTACTATTCTGTAAACTGTCTTTCTAAATGTGAAACTTGCATCTCAATATTATGTTTATTAAGAAAAGCTGAAGCAAGTGTCATTGCTAGCTTCACATACTGACATACATACTTGACATCAGTAATTGATAAGATTAAAATCAAATTAACTTTAAATTGTTGTAGTTCCATTTTAGGAGATTTCATGACACCACTCTCAGGGCCACAATGTCCCAGTGAACTCAGCAGCGGTGTTTCTGGGCTGGGCCGGTTGTTCTGATAATAGAAGGTGGTTCTCCAGGAAGCCAGGAGGGAGTCCACCAGTCTGGGGTGTAGGACCAGTAAGTGGGCCAGCTATGGGATCAGCCCAGGGGTGTGGAGCAGCAGTCGATGAGGCGGTGGGAAGTGCTGGAGGGATGTGGACGGGTGAAAAAGGAAGGCAGGCGAGGAATGGGAGGGAAGGACACGGAAGTGAGAGCAGGAAACGCTGGTAGGAGCAGTGGGAGTGGGGAGTGGAATGTTTCACAAGAGCTTTATCTGCACTGTAGCGTCAAGATGTGGGCATCCGCTGTTGGTGTCACTGTTCAGACAGCCACCCGCCAAGCGAGGGAGCTCATGTGTGAGCCATCCTCTGACACGCACACATGCGCACATTCTCCACAGTGTGACCCCTCACCGCCTTGGCAGAGCTCACTGCTCTTATATCCTGGGAGTGGGCCAGCCTGCAGCACCGTCCCAGTCTTCGTATAGCCCACGCTGTGCGGTTGTGGAATAGAGAGAGAAAGTCTTGCAGTGTAAGTGAGGGAGTCAGTGCTATGCATTAGTGGGTTCTGTTAAAGGGACCACAATACTGGCGGGCATACATTCATGCATATGTAAGTAATGCATTTCTGCACTAATCAGATCATGCTGTCACGGGCACGTTATGCATTTTACTACAAGAGCATGAAAACTGCAGTCAGTGCAACTGTTATTACTGCATTTAATCAGAGCAGAAATACTCAGCCTTCATTCATCAGAGGGCACGATTGTTTGTTTTCATATGAATTGACCTATTAACCACAATAATTTATACAAGAATAGGGACAAGCCTATAAGACAGGTAAATATTATTTAATTCTGTGCAATAGGCACAACTAGATTTTAGCTCCATGTACTTCCAAATGTTGTATTTGAAAGAGTGTGTATAATATTAAACGGAGGTGGAACCATCTCTGGTGGGCCTGTTATGGACTGCGGAGCTTAAAATGAGTATCTTTGACTTAATAAAACGTAACATTGCTGTTTTCTTTTTCGAGTTGTCTTAACTGTCAAAAATGAGCACTGAAATATTAATGGAGTACATTTATGTGAGCAGTGCATGTGAATAAACATAATTTAAATAGACTTTCTTTGGGGGGGGGGTTGTCAGGCTGAACTAATGTAAAATATGCAAAGTAAAATACAACGAGCTCAAAACTGATTTTGCTTTGGAAATAAAATGTTTAAAAAGTATCATCTATAAGCAAAAATGATGTTTTTAATACTATGTTACTAACACTATCGTTATGGCAGCTATTACTTTATATAGCTCAACCTAATAGTTATGCATTGTGTCACAATAGAAGCATGCGTGTATGATGCAATTACAGAGACTTGCAGTAGTAATGGAAATATCAAGTACTGTCAAAATGTTTCACCTGAGCTCAGAGGTGCTCGTGTGACACTAGAGCTGCTGTGAAATCCCTGCGTGTCACTAACGCCCAAGGTTATCACAGGGTAATAAGTGCGCGCACACACACACAGACAGACAGACACATGCACACTTACACAAACAGACACGCGCGTCACTGCAGGGCAGTGGAGAGCAATGCAGAACAAGCACCGTGATGAGAGATAAGATGTAAGAGTCATGCCTCTCCAACGTGACCGTGACATCACAGTTGTATCTGCGTGTTCGCCGTCTCCCCATGCTAGAAACTGACGGGCCTAATATAGTCAGTGCAGAACACACACACAGCTACACTAGGCTGGCGGGGGAGGGAGTCTGATTGCCATATTTCCATCTCCTGTCCTTGGTTGGTTACAAGCGTGCGTGTCTTCAGAGGTGTGTCTTTGTGTGCCGGGTTAGTGAATGAGATGACGTCACTGTTACGTCTGTTCTTGTCTATCAGTGGCTGGGAGTTTCTGTCTTGGCACAGACAGGTGCATCTGTGACATAGTGTGTGAGCGTGTGCGTGTGTGAGAGAGTTTGTGCTTTTATAATTCAAACTTTCTCTGGCTATGTGGAATGCCACTTGAGAAAGAACTTTGAGTGCTCACAAGAATTTGGGGCATTGGAGACATTCTCTAAATGTTCTGACACGTCTGTGGAAATATCTAGCTGCACGTTCTATTTGTCTTGCTGACCTTTTCCCTACTTCTCTGAAACACAGTTTCTAGCTGTTTTGTTTTGGGGTTTTTTGCTTTTATTTGCTGCTCACTTTTTCTTTTTAAGGGTTTTTTTTAAATTAATTTTTTTATGGACAGCCAATCTGTTTATTCACTTCAACCCAGCTGAAAGAAAATCTTCACAAGTGAGCTTTTTTTTGAACTGTCATGTCTTAAAACTACTCTGAGCAGCACCGTGGAAACTTACTGTAGGTCTTCTCACTGCTGGTCTTTGTGTCTCCCCCACCCAACCTCTATCACTGCTATCTCTCTGACCCTGTTTACTTGGGTAGGATGAATAAAACGCCACTGCAGCTAAGACAAGGTGGATAAGAAAGTATTTAAAACCATTGAAAACACAAACACACACAGTTTGATTTTCTTGAAATAGGCAAAATTCTGTATGTTGCTTGTGCCATTATTCTCTGACTACTCTGTTTCACATCTGACTGCAGAAGAACAGCGCTACCTTTTTCATGTAAATCATTAAGCACCGGTATAGTTACTTGTAAAGACACAGCCCCGTGGACCCATTTTACCATTTCAATATTTTCTCTTGCATTCTCTCCACATTCTCGTCTCTCTCCTGCTGTTTGAATTCCTTCGCTCTATCTCTCCAGCTCTTCCTTATCTCTGTCTGTCTGTGTGTCACCACTAACTCTGGTCAGCCATTTAACTGCTTCTCAAGTCAACCCAGCAGAATTCCCAGGCTGCTCAGCCGCCTGAGTTCACACCTTTTTGTCCACAGGAATCTTAGGAATCCCCAGTTTCCTTTCCACTGAAATCTCCATTGTGTGTGTGTGTGTGTGGGTGTGGGTGGAGGGGTGGGGGGGTACGTGTGTGTCTGTAACTACATGAAGGAAAGACCCCCGCCTGTGCTGTGCATGTGTGTTGAAACACATCTCCGCCCTTGTATCCACCCAGAGAAAGCGAGCAGGCGGTGCTCACTTTGTGCCCACAATAGACTGAGTCACATTCTAAAATGGCAAACCTCTTAGTTACTGAGAAACTTTGCTCTTTAGGAGAAACCCTTTAATGTCAAACTGAGACTCACATCATGTGAATTTCATCAGCACACGCTAATTAATTTGCTGTCTTTCACACGGGAATTAACCGCAAAACAGAACAGTTTTCTTCATATTTTCTGATTAGATCATTTAGAAGAAAATATGTTCAGTCTCATGTTTACCTGACTCCTTTTTGGTTTTGTGTTATTATAAATTGTTTTTAGGATCAATAATTGCAGATTCATCATTTGCTAAAGACAGACCGTTGCACTCTTTTCATTTTAACTATAAATTACCTACTTGTTAGGGAAAAAAGAAATCAATGACTCATTGTCGCTGGCTTGCAGAGCATCTGAATAACAAGATCAGGAATAATCTGTCAGATCGCTGCTTTTGGCAGGTAGTGCACATCATATCAAATGGTCGACCCGAAATAGCTCCACACAGGAATACACGAGAGAAAATTAACAAAGCTATTTCAAACAGAAAGAAACAAAAACAAACCAGGCAAGCGCACAGAGTCCCATTTAAATCCTCCCGGTGACTCGACCCGCGCACATTCATGCCGCAGTTTGTCGGCAGGTCTGGAGTCATTTAGCCGCTCTCACCCTGAGTCATCCCTGGCTTGAGTGCAGCCTGATGCCGAGGCTCAGCGGCACCCGTTGAACACAGCGAAGCGCGTACAGATACCCATTCACACACGGAGAGAGCTGTTATTCAGCCTTCACCCACTCACTCTCTCTGCGCGACAAGCAGAGCTATATGCGATGATGTCTTTGATGTTAGCTCATGAGGTCCAAAGACACTGGATGGAAATGTAGTTTGTAAACACTAGAATTATAAATTTAGACTAAAAACAAAAAATCTTATATAATATTTCTCATGAAGGCTTTATTTATAAGCCCTTTAAAACTTTTTTTTTTATTTGACCAAATCTCAGTGTTTTAATGTTCTAAAAAAAATATACAACCAAATCTTTTAAGCACTAATGCTGACTTGCGTCAACAGTCCCTGGGCAGGTAGCATGAAATTATACAGTGTACATGTGTGTACAAGAGAACGCACCGAAACAACGAGACATACACAAACAATCCCTCATACTAGGTTCAATTGTGTCCCAAACAGGTGAGCCAACTGATGCTGTCGCAGCTCACAGGAAGCTGGGATCCCACTCACGTCATCACAGAGGTGAGAAACTTTCCTAAGCTTCTTTTATAACGTGATAGAGCTTTACCTCCTCAGGACAGTCAGGTCAGGTAATCAGTGGCGTTCTTGTACATACAAAAAAACAATAGGTTGCAAGTTGCCCTGAGATTGCACTTAAGGGCTTTAATACCAAAATGTGTGTATATAGGTCAATTATTACTTAACCCTACTTGTTATGTGACTCACAGAGGTTATTTAAATAGTTATGAATGAGGTCTGACAAAAGCATTTATCCGGCTCCACTAAAACGTGTGTGCGTGTTTCCGTACCACAATATGTGTAACGGGAGCATAGCATGGGTGCAGCATGGCCTTTGGTGAGTCACATGGCCTCCCGTGTGAGTAACAAACCAACTATGTGATCCCTTCAGTTCGAGACTCCCATTCAGCCCACTCTTACCCCATACACACGAGCAGGGAGGAGGAGGATGGAAGCTGAGGGTGGGGCAGGGTGGTGATGGTTCATAGGTGTGGTTGGCAGAAGTTGGGGTAAAATAGCAGGATGTAGGTGAGAAAGCAAGCTCCAAGGAGGGAGGTAGAAACCAAGGGGGGTTGACTGAGGTCGAGGGCAGCTTCAGGTCAAAAGTTTCAGATCAGGGGGACAAAAGGTGCCAAAGACTCCTGTAAATTAATATATCACAGTCTCCCCAGGAACTGTCATCATCCATTCCTGCCCCCTGTTTTCTTTTTCTTTCTTTTTTTAACCTGTGAACTTGGGTACTTTCTTCTTAGTAGCTGTGGTCAACATGTGGTTACTCGCTTGTTTATGAGTCCGTCCGGTTCTGTAAACTCTGGTACTTTCTCTTTGTGGTCTCAATCAGCAGCCCATCTGTTAGTTCCATCTTCAAATGTGGCGCATGAAGCAGTCGAGATACGATGCACATATATAGCATTTGTTTATGTGGGTGTGTGTCCTTATGGGTGGAGAATGTAGGCTGGAAGTCACAAAGACTGTAGCTGTTGTTTTTGTTTGTGTTGCCTTATTTCATATTCATTTCAGAGTGGCTACGGCTCGGGAGGTAGTGCGGGAGGTTCGATCACCTGAATGGCCTCCAGTGTGAAAGTTAGACAGAGAGCACTTTGGCATTGTAAAAGCGCTTGTATGAATGACTGACTGATACATGTAGTATAAAGTGCTCGAGTAACAAAGCACTATATGAGAAGCAGTCCTTTTTTTCCTTTTTTTTTTAATAGAAGTCTCAACTCTCTAGCGGGGGAGTTTCCTGCTTTTGAAGACCCCACCACACACACACATACACAGAGAGAGAGCGAGGGAGAGAGACAGAGAGGCTACCCTTAAGTTTTTTCCTCCTCCCTCTCCCCCTCCTTCTTCCCTCCTCTCTTTTTTTCTGAATGGATGTCCTCTCCCTAACCTCAATTGAGAGCTGTAACAGGACACTGCTTTAGGCTCAGCCCCCTCTATGTATAAGAGAGGGAGAAGCAGCAGTCCTGTGAGTGTGTGTGAGCGAGTATGTCCGACAGTGTCAGTCAAGGGGTTGAGGGAGAGAAGGGGAGGGTGAAGGGTAAGAGAAAAGGAAGGAGGTGAGAGAGACAGAGAGAGAGAGAGAGAGAGAGAGAGAGATAGACTGCTGTGAAACATGTGATAGTGCAACTTTGGCGGGGCTTAGAGGGAGTTTAACGGCTGTAGTGTCTCCAGAGCTCTGGGAAAGCACCTTTAGCCCAGAGGGAGCCTCACAAGCTGTCTGTGTGTGTGTGTGTGTGTGTGTGTGTGTGTGTGTGTGTGTGTGTGTGTGTGTGTGTGTGTGTGTGTGTGTGTGTGTGTGTGTGTCTTTTTGTGCGTACGTGAAAGTGTGTGCTTCTGTGTGTGAGTGAGAGAGCCGGTTTTTCAGTGCTGCTGCTGTCACTTTAAGCCTGTTACTGATTACACTCAGAAGAATGCAACGGGAGGAGGCTAAAAAGACAGGGAAACAGATGAGGAGACATGTAAGGATGAAATCTCTCAGAAGCTGAGCTATGGCGAGCTTTATGTCACTTGCCCTCACGGTCCTGGGCAGTGACGTGGGTGAGACACCGTTACCCAACATCGTCTCTCCCTCCCTCTCTCTCTCTTTCACTCTCTGTTGGACCAAGCAAAGTCAAAGTGAAAGGGAACCCGGAATCCCTCTTTGAAGCAGAGACAGAGCGAGAGGACGCCCAGAAACACTGGGAAAAACTTAAAGAAAAGACACCAGAGAAGAAGAAATTCGAGGTTGAGGGAAGGGGTGTGCGTATGTGGGGGGGTTCCCTCATTCCAAACTCAGCGCTGGGAGGAAACACTACTCTCACCCAGACGGGTAAGTGAAAAAAGAAAGAAAAAAGAAAAGAAAGGGAAAAGATTCCCAGAAAGTAGAGGAGCTGCTGCTGCTGCTGCTGTTGATGGATATCATATGTTACAAGTTAAGGTTGAGAAACTGCTCCCAGATCCTTAATAGGTGGAGAGGAAGAGCAGTCTGTAGGCTGTCGGCAAACTCTCACACAGCCTGAAGTAGTGAAGTTGTGCTCTGATTTTTCTTTCTGTTCAATTTTGTTTTGTTTTGAAGCTGGTGATTGGTCACCTTCAGCTTGTCTCGAATTGCTCTGAGTTTGAATGGTCACTAGCGTGAGCGTCCCCAGCGCTGCGATCGCGTTACAGAGGAGCTGATTCACTGTCACACAGCCGATTTGTTTGACTCTGCTCTGAGGCTGACTTACAGTCGTATAGCCAGGATTAGATGGGAAGCAAAATGTATGGTGTGTGCTATCATCAGTGCTGCGGTAATATACCAGACATAGTCTGTTGAAGGCAATGCTGATATGAAGTCTTGTGATTAAAATAGGTCTTTGTGGTCAATGGGCCATTTTTAAATACAGAAGCACCACTTCCTCTCTGTTTCAGTCACGCTGTGTGTGTGTGCCCCCCCCTCTTCAACTGACACAGATAGCACAGTCCTTTTGCTCTGCAGCAGAAGGCATGAATGAACTGAGCGTCTGGGGTGGGGTGGAGGTGGAAGCGGTGGCGTTGGTGGTGGAGCGGGAGGTGGGGTGTGGATAAAATATCATACAGCATGGACAGCGAGCATGTGGCTTCTTTATGAATGGACATGGCAGGCAGCTGACATGATTGGCTGCAAAGGAGTGACGTCTGATGACTGCAGAGCCGGCACTCTGGAGTCATTCTCCCCTACGCTGTCGCCGCTGTCCCTCCTGGTTACCACCTCTTAAAGCGCTGCCGCCGCATGTGTGTATATGTATTGGTCTGTGCAAGACACAGAGAGAGTGTTTTAAGGAGTCGTGTGAATCAGTGCTAGTGGTTGTGGGTGACATGTGTTTGCCTAAGCGGGCTTAGTCACAATCTGAACAGAGGGGTGTGTGTCTTGAAGCAGTGGGCTTTTTTTCTTCTTTTCTTCATCTTCTTTTTTTTTTAAAGAGTTGTGGCTCTCTGCCCAGCTGTTGTTCTTCAAATTGTCTCCCACTCTCTCTGACTAACATAATGCTCCTTCCAGCTATCATTACTCTTACTTGTCATGTAATAAGAGGGAAAGTTTCCAGCATTAACACGTAATAATGCTCCCTCATGACTCACTTTCGGGGACGAAGGTTTATTTTGTGACCGTCTACACTTTTAGATTTCCGCTTAAAGAATTTCAACAAAAAAGGAAGTCATGCTATCAATCTGTCGATCTCATCAAGATGATGAGATAATGTAAGAGGCCGTTCTCAGGAAACAAACAGGAAAATAATTTATCAGGGTGACCTCTGTGTGTGTGTGTGTGGACCATAACCACGTTACCATGCCGGTGCCTGCCAACAGCCAACCCTACAGACGGACATGCACACCCTTTGTTTTACTGCGACACAATAATGGCCACTCCTTGAGCTTACTGCAGTTCCTACACTCCTCCTGCCCCCACTTTAGTTTATGGTTTATCAGGAGGTGTGATAGGGAGACGGCGAGAAAGAGAGTGAGGAGTGGTGATAAGGAATTGTCACGTTGGTGCGCGAGGATCTGTCGGCACTTATCGGGGCAGCGTTTCCGGCGCGAGTGCACGATAGAAAAGAGATTGGCGGCGAGATGCATCGCAGGTATCTATCTTGATGAGGAAGATTAAATTCCCAAGTCCAGATTAGCATGGAATCTGCCCTTTTGTCTTATCACCCTGCCTACACGGTGAACCCTGCTCTGTGCTACTTGGCAATAAGCAGCTAACCATCTCAGGCCAACCACCTTTCTGCAGCTTCTATAGGCAAACGTAAATGACTTGGTTTTTGGATAATAAGAAAAGGAGAGCACATTTTTTTTTGTCACGTATACAAATCCAGGGCATGTTGTAGCAGTTTCTTACGTTTTATGATTATTATTATGATTATTTAGACGTTGATTAAGATAATTTTTAAGATGTCAAAGCAACATTGAGATTTGGTTACAAAAAAGGCGAGAAATCTACATCTGCATCATACATTTATTTGCTGACTGTATTACTGGCATGAGTAGAGATTTTAGGGGCTATTGGATTACAACCATTTAACAACCAAATAAAAGTGGCTTGAAAAAACAGCAAGGTGAGTCATCTACAAACCTTTCATTTTTTAGTCAAACTGAACCTAATTTTAACCTTGGCAGTGATGCAGCACTGTAAAGCTCAGTCAATCTAACTAAACTGAACTATTCAACAGAATGGTTAAACTTTCAATTTTTAAATAGATTTAAATCTTTTTAAAAGGCCATGACTGGCTGAGCAGATTTAACCCATAAAAAATGAATATATTGACATGTGTTACTTTTTTTGACATAATGTAGAGATGCAGAGCTAATACCAATTAGTTTATTTTTATATTACTTTTATTTGGTTATTAACTAGTGGAAATAAAATATATACAAATAAAGGTTTATGGTCAAAGATAAACATGCAGGAATTTTTTTAATACGAAATATTTATTCTTTGTGAGTTTTAAATGGAAGAATTATTTTTTTAATGTACTGAAAAGGACCTCAAGCAAGCAGGTTAGGTTAATTAGAAAGGTGTCATCCTGACAAACTGCTGTGGAATGGTCACATATCTACACGGTAGTGATAAAAGCAGCTTTTCTGTTTATTCCACCACACTCAATTTGACAACAAAAGGATATAACGGCTACACTTAATATCAGGAACAATGTGCTCGTGACGTGGAGTGGAGGGGGCAAACGTGGACCGCATAATGACAGGTGGCAGATGGCTGGAGGAACTTAGGACTTAAGTCACCTGTGGCAGGCTTTACTTTGAACTGCATTCATAGCGGCTGGCGTCGGGAAGTGAGGCATTGTGACATACCGTAGTTATTCCAACGCTGACAGGAGTTATGTAACTGAAACTGGGTTAAGCGGCGCAAGAACAATCTTAACTATGACTTGACTCATTTCTCCTTTTTCTCTTCCCTACTTTCCTTTTCGCATGACTTGTCTTTGTTTATACATCAACAGCTCACTTACACAAGTCTGTCATTCACAGGCAGATTGTCGTGTTAAGAGCTTAGCTAGATAACTTAGATGTCGCAGGGCTCAAAGCACTGTGTGTGCATGCACAACAGAAAAAGCCCGTTAGAGATTCTGTGTGTTTGCATACGTCTTGTGTGCATTTCTTTTGTGTGTGTGTGTGTGTGTGTGTGTGTGTGTGTGTTCAAGAACGTTCCAACGTGTACTAACCACACACACCTGGCCTGGTTCCTCCTTTGCACATATATGGGCAAAGCTTCCCCTACCTGGGCCTCACTGAATTCCAATAAGTTGCAATGTGAGTGTGCGTGCGTGCGTGTGCGAGAAAGAGGCTGTAGAGACGGATGCACGTCATGGAAAACCAGGATCAATGGGCAAGGCCCACAGAGCTGCGTTTTTAAGGTGTTCCTTTTGTTTTCCAAAGGTAATCAGTTAGCACAATGACTCAGCTTGGCTGATTATTCAAAGTGGCTTCAGTAGGACGACGTCAAGAAGGAACTGTGGTCATGTTGCTATTAGACAAGCTGCATACAAACTCAAGAGAGCAGAATGAAATCCCTGTGTATCAGCAGGATTATTAAAGTAAGAGTGAAACTCTTGATTAAAATAAGACACACAGTGGGCTCAACAGTTTTCCCAACAACAACATCCAGACTTTCAAATTATTTGCTAAAAATCAAACTTTCCACAACTGACTTATCTACTTTCAGTCTCTTTGGGCTATTTGTCAAGACGTGCGTTAGTATTCAGGGTGGAGGTAGTGAAGGTATCAGTAGCCGGGTTGTGCCTCTTGCAGACAGAGCTTACATTATTACATTATAGCCTCTGCTTTGCCTTATGTTGGCACTAATGAAGCAGATTTATGGCTATGTTTGCCAGGGTTCAGCGCTGGTCCTGTTTAAACCCTGTGACCCGACAAAGCAAAGTACCCTCACACTGATTTTGGACAATGGGACACCTTTCATCCATTCCATTCCTTCTCTATACTTTTTTCCTTTTCCCTTCCTTTCCTTTCGGCTCCCTTCTTTCTGTGCTCCCTGCACATTTGCCAAACCTTCATAAAGCAGCTCGAGGAGGTAGTTAGCTTTCCTTGGTCATCTCGCCAGGTCTTTCCCATCAGTCCAGCCCCCTCGAAGAGCTTGCAGACATCCCTCTCTGTAGGCTGGGGGGCTGAGCCTGGGTTTGGGGTACAAGCTGTATATTTGAGGCTGGGGCTCCCTCTGGAGAGGTTCTTTGGCTGTTCAGTCTAAAGGTCTGGATTCAGTGTGTAACTCGACCGACAGCCACCTAGCAGCACTCAAAGGAACCATTTGGGATAGCTTTACAAGTAAAGGCCTGTTTTATCTTTACAATTTATAATAAGGATAGAAAGTGAGAGGGAGGGAAAGGAAAGGGTGGCGGGGAAAGTGACTTTAGCAGCGTGGATACAGGATAGCAATATTCTGGAACAGGGAATGACTTTGGATGGCGAACAGAGGTAACAGCAAAGACAGAGCTTCCATAACCTCTGCCGCCACCGAATATGAGCTACTGGCTTCCTCTCTTTGGTTGGAAGCTCTCACTCCCCCATCATAACCAATTATACTGTCAGGCTGGGGTATATTGAAATCTGGGGAGCTGAGAACTAATATCTGATTGGCAGCAGGCCTCATGGAACGGCTGCTTAATTGGTGGCAAGCAGTTGGTGAGCACTGCATTTCAGGCTCGTCTCATCTTGTAGTCTAAGCATCTCTTTGTGTGAGTGAAAGCAAAGTGATTGGTGCAATGTTCACTTTGTGAACCCAGCGAAATTGCCGAGGCTGTATGGGAACAAGCTAAGTATGAACTTCTTCACACTCACCAGGTTGTCAGCAGTCTGTTTGGGGTAGAGTTACACTAAAGTTCGAATGATGGATTTTCACCTATTTTGGCATACGCAGATGGAATAATAACAGATGGAGTAGAGGGCTGAAATCCATGTTGGAGACTTTTGAAAAACAAAAACTTAACAAAAACTAGTTTCTGAAATCGTGTGCATTTGCTGTGCAACTAAAAGCAACCTAGAACCCTTAATGCTCAATGGTTTGCGGGTGACCTGGTGGACTATAAAAGAGTAAGTGGACTGGTTTTGTTTGTTTTTTTGCTTTTTTTTTTATTTTAATCTAAACTCTTGAATTTTAGTCTGTCAGTGTCCACCAATTCTCTTCTAGCACTGACAGCTTCAGTGAGAAAGAGTAAAATATGTGCTTGCGCTTCTAAAGTCCAATTTTCTCTACCATCAATTTTTCTATCCAAATCTTAGTATTCAAAAATAAACTGATACAGTTCCAGGCTGTTTCTTTTTCTGGATTTGTTTTTTTGTTTTTGTTGGAAGAGCAACTGTAGATAATAAGCCCAGCGCTGGAACAGTAGGGGACTTTAAAGATGGAGTGCTGGACGTATTGCACACGCACACACGCGCAGAAAGAGCAAGAGAGAGAGAGCGAGGGAGGGAATGCATCCACACCCAGCTCACACATCCTACACACCCACCCACACACACATGCCCACACATACTTGAGCAACAGCACGAGCACATGCACACTACCAGTGAACCAGTGTCGCTCACTGTAGAACTGCAACTCTTGTGCTTGCACAAAATACACACACATACTTGTACAGTGGTCACCCCCTACTTTGAGGCTAAAGCAGGGTAATGATTCAGTTCCTCTTTGTGTGTGTGTGTGTGTGTGTGTGTGTGTGTGTGTGTGTGTGTGTGTATACATCTGTGTGTACTACATGGTGTATATGTGAACACATTTGCCACTTTGTGAATGTGTTTCGAGCGTGTGTGTGTCTGTGTGTGAATGTGGATGTGGTAAAGGCCCAGTCATCTTCAAGGCAGCTAAGACGAAAGCCACATCAACTGCCATATACCACACTCTAGGAATAGAATAGGCCAGCGCAGGCAGGAATGGAATGGCACGCCTGGCCTCGCCCCTCCTCGAACCACCTCACCCATCCCCAGGCCTCCTAGCGCTCACCCCCTCTTCCTCTAGTCCAAATCGCCCTTGTCGCTTAGGTTGCTTGCATTTCCCCACTTCATCTTGCAGTTTTGTAGCGCTCCGTATCACTGCTCATTTCACTCCTCTCTAGAGGAAGAACTACAGACGCATGCTCGCTTTCCTGGATTTCCTGGCTAGTATTAGGCATCAGATTGTCCAGCTGCTTTTATTTCAGTCTAGCTCCTCAAACGCCGTAGCATCTGAGTATGCACAAGACGTGTGTTTAAAAACCGAGAGCTGGTGTCGCTTCGATGAAAACCCCGATTAATCTGGCTTATCTGAGATGGTGTTTCACTTCCTCTGTTGTCTCTGTGTGCCTTCACCCTCTGTCCTCCTAAGCATGTCCATATCGCATCAACTCAATGTGTTGCTTTCGATTGAAAAATTGAAAAAGCTGATTGGCTTATGTACATTTGACCTCTCTGCCTAGCGGCAGTGGCAGCATCACCAAAGTGTGGAAAAAAAAGGGAAGCGATAACGCATAGACCTTATCACTTTGCCTCTTAGCCCAGTGAACTCACTGAGCCTCACCAGTCTGGACCTGTTGACACTGCACTAGCACAGCTTTAACACACACCTGTCCTTATTTTATGCTAAACGACATCTTTTGTTATATTTGTTGTTGTTTTTTACATCTCAAAATTAGCATCTGAAGTCTTAAGTATCACTTTCCTTTTTTTTCCAGGTTTGCTGATTTTGCTTGGATTGTCCCAGATAAATGACCGCGAGCCATTCCCACAAGAGGTAAGAAATTCATTCTTTAAAAAAAAAATCTGCATCAAACACTGTCCTCGCCACTGTCCCCTCCTCTCTCAGCTTCTTTGCCACTATTGTCAAAAGAACAGAGCCCTAGGCCACTTCCCCTTCTCCCTACCTCAAATCCCTCAGTGCAGGGAGCCCAAACAGTATTAGCACTTTAAACCTTAGGCTCACAGGTAAGTTCAGTTGGGGAGCTGTCAGAGAAATTTCTCTTATACGGTAAGATGAGACAAACGATATGACATAGTTGGCATGGTGAAAAAAAATGAGGTGCTGAAACGAGGAAAAGTAAGATGGGGGAAATGTAAAGACACATATGACAGAAAGAGCATTTACAGTGACAGAACGCTGGAATGCGAGGAAGGAGGAGGAAAGAGGGGCAGAGCAGAGAGAGGGGGAGAGAGAAGCCAGCACATTTCCCTTAATAAAAAGAAAGTGGAGTCAAGTGACCATCAGCTGGTCAGAGAATGTTTGATCAATATAGTCATGAGGCCTCAGGTATGCAGAGCGAAATGAAGGGAGAAAGATCGGCCCCGCTGTCTCCTTCCAGGTTACCCATCTCCTCCAATCACATGTATCTAGGTTGCAGTTTTATGAAGACTGAGTTAGCGCTCTCTTTATGCGTAGGGCTCAGCGTTGGGTCGGCATGGCGGTGGCTCTGTCTGTCATGCCTCAGGGCTAATGGGAAAGAATGACAGGAATCTGCAACTGATAATGCCATGCTTGGAGATGTTCGTCAGCAGATTATCTCCTATATCCTTCCCCTCCCTCAGGCTCCTCATTTTCTCCCGCTTGATCTCGTCTCTGCAGTTTGCCCCCTGTGCTCTTTCCTTTGCCTCTACATATTTGCATCTTGCACTCACACCTTCTCCTTCTTTCTTATTTTCCTTTTGTTGTTTTACATAATTGGTCTGTCCCTGAGATCTGTATGTGTTCATAATGGACCTATTTTCTGTTTCTCTTCACTCTTTCTTCAGATGGGGTCCAGAGTCTCCCCACCCAGACACGACTAAACCGGCCAGCCTTCACAGTTCACGCCTCTCTAGCTGCTGTCAGTTGCTCAGTAGGCAGTGTAGATCCTGTGTAGCAATCAGCAGCTACATCTGGCTACTGGGTCTCTGACAGTTCTGCCTACTTCCCAGTCAAGCTTGCTCGTTCCTCTTCCTATTGGCTAAGTGACACATTCCAGTCCCCGCATTGGCTGCGATGTCAGGGGGGCTCCATCCTGTGACCCCACAGACAGGATGTTCTCTGTGTCACAACTCCACAAGGGCCCCTTGTCAAGGCTTTTTTGTGTTGGTTTTTTTTCTTCACTCCTTCCTCCTCTGTCATTCTTCTTTAAATTCTCACTCATTTCGCCTTCTCTCCTTGGCCTCTGCAAGATTTTCTTAATATGAAATGTCCTTGGTTGTAAATATTAAAGTTCCGTGAGAGAAATTTAAAGGAGCGTATTTTTCCAAAGGAAAAGCAGCAACGTGTATTTGAAAAGCCCTCGGAGAGACCTTTGCTTTCGTCCTGAACCTGGCATACAATGTAGATTTCTGTGTGGTTCAATTCTACAGCTACATTGTCTGCTGGGTTTCTGGCAAGCAATATAAGCAGCTCTTATATAATCCCTCGGGCGCTCGAAAAGGTAAGCATTCATCTGTTCTGTCAATGTGGCTCAAATGCCTGACCCTGACAATTCAATAAAGAGAAAATATTTCACATTAATACTGCTGAGTGACTGTCGTTTGTCAAGCTGAAAATCACATTTGAAGAAAGAAAGAAATCTCCAAATCTACTAAATCTAAATTGATTCAGTGTTGCTTTTGTGTCCCAGGAGTTAACCCCAAGCAAGAGATGCCAGGAATATTCTAGTAACTCAGCACAAAGCTGGGCTGTTGTCTGTCAGGAGCTTGTCAGGCTGCTGTCAGACCGGCTCCTTATTAATGGGGCAGCACTGTCTCCCCTGCAGCCAACACACACACACAGTACAAAAAAAGCACACACCCGCACACACACCTGGGATTATACCAAACCTTCACACAGTGCTTTCAGAAGACATCCCTACCTGTGAAAGTCTGCAAACCCCAAAAGCAACTTCTACATCCCAAAGTATGTTTTTACTTCACAAACGATTTTAATTTGAAAAAAACAAAACCAGAAGAAATGCAGTCAAACTGTAATTTGACAAATTCTGCTGGCAACTTCTTTCCACACACACTAACTAGACTGATACCTACATGAATAAAGCAGCAGGCAGCCGGCTTTGAAAACACATGTTACGGCACCGAGCCTTACAAGAAACCGAAAAAAAGGGATGGGAGGGGGGCACAATTCTACTTTTAATGTGTGTGTTCAGCAGGGATCGGCAGCAGCGTCTTTGTCCTGTTGCAGCCCTCCAGCAACGCTCCGGCAATACAGTTGAAAATATAATAAGTCTCCGCAGCTAAGAAAAGAAACCGAGGCAAAGCTCCCTCGCAACAGCGGGTCTTTTGAATAACAGTGTTATTTCTTTTATAATCAAATCAAAGACAAATATAGAGTGAAGGTTTTGTGCCTTACTTTTTCCACAGCTCCAAGGTTCAAGTAGAGCTGATATGAGTGAGGCTGAAATGATTCGCTTCATTAAGCAACCGAGGGAAAAAAGTTCAGTCATTTATCAATTTAGTTTGTTTTTTTGCTAATCGAATATGACTCTGGGCTTTGGTGAGGGATATTCTATACGAGCTGCACTGACAGTGACCATGAGTGTATGTGCCTCCTTCCTCTCCGTGTATGTGTGCGTGTTTTCTATCTTTATAAACTGAGTTTTCAGCTGTCATTCGAACAAATCAATAAATAATAAATTCTACAGACAAAATTTGTTGTTGAGTGTAAAATTACCTACACTAGATCCTCCTATCGCTGCAAGTTTTAAAAAAAGGGGGTAGCTGAGTGATGCTGTTTCATTTATACCAAACTAACACATGAGCTGCAATACATAATACAGGATAAGAACCTCTCCAGCTGAGTCTGGCATATTTCACTAATCAAAACCCTGTCCCCGTGCAACAGGACACAAAGATTTATTTGCTGCTTGTAAATAACGCTCCCACCATTTATGATTTTACATGAAAGCAGCGCTCGCATCTTTTGGGGAAACAACAATGAGCAAATTCTGCGCTCAAAAGACTGTTTGAAAGGCATTCTACTGATCTGACTGTACATGCTGTACAATAGATTTTTCAGTGTACACACAGGCGGGCATGTCAGCATTGTGTTAAAAGGGAAAACGTGAAGGAACTCTTTATGTAAAAGCCTTTCAGTGGTAATGGTTTAAAGAAGTGAACCGGCGCCATTCATGTGTCAGCTTGAAAAGATTTGCATAAAGTCTGTGCAAGTAAACAAAGGAGTTGAGAAAATGGTGATTATATATTCGTGTGGAAAATTACATTTTTCAGACAGTGATTGTTATGAAATAGAAGCCGAGCTGACAGTTGATGAAACAAGCGTGCTAATGCAAAAGATATGACCTCATAAATGTGGCCTTATAGGACAAAAAAAACATAACACCTGGAACCCCTTCGGGTGTAATTATAATAGATTTGCATTTACATCCCCCACACTGAATCACTCGTCTCATTTCCATCATCAATACAGGTCTTGTCAGTCTCTCGCTACTCAAGCCCTCAAGTTCAACTTTACCAACTCTGTTTTTGTGACAGCGAGCTGAGCGACTCCATCGGGACCCACTATGAGAATCCCAACAATGCAAGTGGTTGCTAATGGCCTGTAATGGGAGGGGTGCGTGGGCGGTTTATTGTTGCTTTGATAAGCTGTCGATGACGTGCGTGGTGTGAGGACAGTCAGAATGCAAAACAACAGAATGCTGAGAAAAAATGACTGATGATGATGGCGATAAGGGGAGGGGGAAAAAATCTGTGGGAAAATGAAAGAGAGATGAGGCCATCTGTCGTCCTCCATCGCACATTTAAAGACTTTCAAGGAGGACAGGGTAAAAGGTGAAGGTGCTGTTATCTGAAGGTGAGCTAAACGTACACTCCCTCTCTTGTTTGCGTCACTGCTGTAATAAGTCATCCGAGCCCTTCTCAGTGACCTCTACAGTAGGGCTTTCCCCATCAGTAAGCCTCCAGAGGGGGATTTACATGACGTGGTTTACAGTGGTCACAAGATGTTTATGGTTTCTTAAGATACAGTTAACTGGCTTTTCTCTTGAACAACAGTCATTAAATTGGTGCCGCTGGGTTTCATGTTCAGGCTTTTTAATAGTGATAACTATGACAGACCAGCGACCTGCCCAGAGTGAACCCCACCCCTCGCCCTGTGACACCTTTTGCAAGCCCCTTTCTTGCAAAATGAGGGATGGATAGACCCTACAGATAGTGCTCCATGATTTTTCTGTACCTTCCAAGACATAAAGAAATATTTTAATTCTTTACAAGTCCGCAGCAATGGTTCAATATCTTTAGATGCAAAATCATCTTTTTATTGTGGGTTCAATACCTGACAATATAAAACCTCTTGAGGTTACTCAAGTTGTTGTGATTTGCCGCCATATAAATAAAACTGAATTGAATTGAACTGATATGAGCTGAAGTGAAAAAACACCAAAGTAAGAGAGTATGTGTATTCTTAGTGTTTTGAAGGGTACGCCCCTAATAGCGTGCTGTAGGCCAACTCACAAGTTAGCATTGCCCTGAGATACCTCAACAAAAATGTGATGTGGTATTTCAAAAATGCTTTTTTCATTAAGTCTGCAAAAAAATAAGTCTACAGCATACATGTTAATCTTTAGAAACGGATGTATTTTTGAATTCTGAAGTGTAAATGCAACTGCCAAAGCTAAATTAATGTTGTGCCATAAACAAACAACACCATGGTCATAGTTTTTTAGCGTCACCACCACAAAACTTTGGACCATGGGTTTTAGCAAATGCCTTGTCTGAGACATGGAAAAACTTCAAAATTTAGAAGTGAAGTATTTATCGATATTTTTATACGCTGTAGAAAAAAAAGCTAAAACTTGTGCTAATCACAGACCTTATTGCAGACATCTAATGAACACCCATTCAAAAAAAGAAACACTGAGACAAGTGAACTGGTGGTGCAAAATGCTACATCATTTCTGGGTTTTAGGCCTCATTGCTGCAGCATTCTAGATAAAACAACAGTCAATAAGAAGAGTCTCGATTGGTTGGTTTGTACCAGGAAAGTGAGTCAGTTATGGACAGACGTTATCACTTTACAAATGTCCCTGCAGCCAATAGATAGTAATAACATATGTTATGAAGAACGGTCCAAGTTCATTTTAGGGTTTCAAAGGAGCTTCTTATTACAAAAACATACTCCTTAATGGTTATTGTGTAACAGTTATGGGATCTTCACTAACAAAAAGTTTATATCTAATGTGTGGTAACCCATCTTACCACCCGACCTTCGCGTACTGTTGTTTTGTTGAATGGACACCATGTCACAGTGGCACACTTTGGTTCTTTGTTATGTACAATGAATGAAACACCTGTTGACATTGTGCATGTGAGTTTCACTTCAATTAAAAAAAACAGTGCCCTAAAGAGAGGCGAAGTGAAAATAAAACTTCTGGATTCTGTTCCAGAAGTGAGAAAACTTCATTCAAAATGCCACTGACAGGTTTAACAATGGAAATGGAACAGAGCCTTTCTGAGCACTACGTCACGAAACTCACTGTATGTGTTTGAAAAATGATCTTATATTGTTTAGTAACCAAGCATCATTTTCTATAAGCCACAGACATTCACAGAGTCGATTTTGAGGTTTGACAAAGAAGAGTCTGTAGTTAATTCAGACTAACTGGGAAAACAGGGGTCTGAACACTCTTACCAGAGATTATTATTATGAGTCTAAAGAATATAAATGAATTCAAGCTGAAATGAACTAAGTTCTTAAAGGAGGTCTTGTTTTTTTCTTTTTTCTACTCACAAAGATATTGTTTTATTTAAGATGACAAAGGTTTCATTACCTTAGAGAGAAAGCCTTTTAGTGGATGTGAATATGTACAGTACATGATTTATTTATTTTTCCAGAAAGACTGATGACAGAAATTCAGAAGCTCGTGGAATAGAGCTTACCCGGGATTTGGCAGCTAGTAGCTGGAAATGGGTTTCACATTCAAAAGTTTATCTTGTTATTTGTGATCAAGGTAAATGGCTATGATCCAGGAAACTGGAAAGATAAGAGGAAGCAGAAGAAGAACTAAAGCAAATTGTTCTATAAGTGGATTTTTGTCAGATAGAGGTGACAGTTTGAGATATAAACTCATAACCTCATGCAAATCCCTGGAAAAGCGCTGTCCCTGCACTGAACTTTAGAGACGGAGGTAATTCTAGAAACACTTCTCGTATATTTAAGAGGTCAATTTCCTTCGAACATGCATTCCAGCAAAGTCATTTCCAGTGCCGCAGAGACTTATTCGGGCTCTCTTTATTTTATTGTAATGTAATTATAAGCAAGGTTAAAAGATTAAAAAACCTAAATTTCCTTTCCTGTTTTACTGTCTATAATAAATCAACACTCCACTTGAACTGTGTCACAGTGGCTGGCAGAGGCAGGACCCAAATGCAGGACGCGCAAAAACGAGGATTAAACTGAAAGCTGGTTTAATAAACCTAAAATGAAATGCAAAATAACATGAATGACAAAACTAGGAAAATCAAACCTTTGACACAGTGAGGAACACAGACTGCAAGGGAGGAGGACTAAACCACGAGGGGGGGAGGCAACAGGGAACAGAGGGAAACTGAGGAGATAAATACACACAAGGGGTAATGAGAGAACGGTCCACAGGTGGAAACACAGATGACACTAATCTAGGCAAATGAGTTAAAGGAAGCAAAAGTGAATATGTTACGCACGAGGCAGGAAACTATCAAAGTAAAACAGGAAGTAAGATAACTGCGGAGACAAAGACTAAAACACACAGGCTTTGCACTAGGGAGAAACAGACATGGGGACAAGACAGACTGGGGAGACAAAGAAATGAAACAGAGAGAACAGAGAAAATAGGAATAAAGAACACAAACAAATGACTGAGACTCAATCACAAAACTCATGGTAACCTAGAAAATAGCATTCAGCAACCAGACATTATTGTCTCCTCCTTTCA